AATAAACTTGTACTGAGCCCTCTGATGCTTAACCCCTCCCCTATCCTAATATGGGGGAGGGGCTCTCCAAGGATGGCGACGCACTAGTGTCTCTTGAGCTGCAGATTTCCATTGTAGATGTCGTATGTCCTCCTGTCTGTCTCACTTTATATAAAAAAGGCAATGGAGAACGACGTAAAATGCGATTTTATTCCTTATTACAAGACGCATATGGTTGCTTGTTCTGTAATATACAAGTGCAAGTACAACATGCGACTAAAATGCTACCTGCGATAAAATCGTTAATAAATAAGTTATAAAAAGCAAGTTTCTAAGTATTAACTACTAAAGGTGAAAAAAAAAAACAAAATATAAATCAACTAATATATTTTACTAGGGAATGTGTCTACACTAAATTAACCTAAAAAACTTACTACTTATAAACGAAAAATTCACCTAAACTAAAATAAATAACTAATTAGAAAATAAAACTACTTAAAATATAATCTTTAGACAATTTTATTTGAAGGAAATATCTGTGTAACTTTTAATTATTTAAATACTTAGTTTATCTATTAAAAAAGAAAGTTGGGTGCGACTCTTAAATATTTTTTTAAATACTACATTTTTATCTACTGTCACTGTTATCTACCATAGATATTACGATAATTTTTTTCGTACCTTGAGAGCATAGCTTCTGCGATATGATTTTTTTTAAATTTTCTAAGACTTTTGGTAAACACACTTAGATCACAGATATTTCTTTCAAATGGAAAACCTAAGATTCCTTCAGCATAATAATACAATACATACCATTATATCTATGCCAATATGCTCATCACGGAGGTTAGTCTTTAAATTAAACATATGGTTTTAGGAAAATCATTTTTACTTGTATCTAAATGTTACCTAAACTTAATTACTCTGACCTGTCGACCTTCGTAATGACCTGTAGTGGTATTAAGGTGCTAGATTAAATGTACATTATTCAGCTCTGCCACTGTTCATTTGGACTTCTCTTAACTTTATATATTGGTTGAACAATAAGACGCCATGTTTAGTGCAATTATTTCTGCTTTTATACATTAAGATTGACTCAAGGATGTTTATAAATTAAACAATTAAGTTTCTACAAAATCCGCTACGCGTTTTTTAAGTTATTGACAAACTATTGGTTCAGTAACAAGCTTTATACAACCATTTTACTTTTATCTTAATTTGAGTAACACATTTCTTATAAGTTGAGTAACTTTTTTTAAACAATGAACATCAAGTTTTTGTGTTTAATGTGTTCAGGCATTACAAACAATTTGATAGTCACTAGCCTAACTTTAGAATCTACAAAATTAACATTACATCCCAAACATTTATAATAATTATGAGTAATTTACCAATACATTGTATTTATTTATTCTAATAGGTACAATAATCGCGTATACTTTTTACAAATTCCGTGTTCTAGGTTTTAATGTGTCACGTTGCTTATGGTCAATAAAGTAGGTAAAAACAAATTATCTAATGAGTAATACATTAAACATATAAAGGTTAGCAAAGGTTTTTGAGAAAGCTTAGTGCAGCAGTTAGGAGTGGTTACGTACATTGGAAGTTAACATTGTTTAAAAATGTATCAAGAAGAAACGAAAGAAAGAAAATAATTTATACTTTACATCTATAATTAAAAACGTAAAGTCTAAAGGAAGAGTGTGATTTTTAGCCATGACCCTAAGATACGAAAATGCAAAAATTAAAAAAGAAACAAGTTCACATAACTCGCGTTTAATGAATAATATGCGTTGTGCACTTGAGATTTAAGTTAGTGCCATGTTTGGTACCTAAAGTTGAACGGTCAATTACCTGTTCAAACATGAGCACTCGTGTTATTGGCTTTAAGTATTTTTGTTGGCGATTCGAATTGCATGACTATTATTATCGCACAAGTATTAAGAAGGAAGTTCTAAATTACACTTCTAATACTTTCAAATTTTAAATATATTTACAATTACCTTACTCCGATAAACACATTAAAACCAAAAATATTTTTTTACAAATACCCGCCTTATAAGTAACACTTATTCTAATATCATAGCTATTTTATCGGCATAAAACATTAAGTCCCTCACATTTGTGGCAGTCGGGTAAAAATAATAACTAATCTGTGGGCATTTTTGAGATTACACTTCGACAACAAGAAGGCATGTGCAGCACTTGAACTAAATTTCAACTGACAGGATATAAGGCTACTCTACCCACACTTTCAAACATCATCATCACTTTGCAGCAGTCACCAACAGTTGCTGATTTTCAGAAAATAATTTATATTGTTAGAACGCCATGTTTTGTGTTATAAATCTGGATCAAGCTAGCCATAGTAAAAAGTAGTTAAAATAGAAAAAAGCATAAGAAATAAACAGGCGGAATTAATGAGTATAACTTGAGAAGCGAGAATGATAGGTGATTACCAAAGCATTTTTACGAATGTTATTAAGAAAATAAATATGGTTAAGTAGAATGGTCAGACGTATCGCAATAATTATTTTTTTTGATTCATGCATTAAAATTTGATTAAATCAAAAGTTAAAACTAGAAATATATTTTTGATTAATTCAGCAATCACTAAGACAATGCTGGTGATTTAAACTTCATGACAAAGTACACAACCCCCATGACAGTATTTGAAAACTTAACATCATTCTCCTGTCAATATGATATTTTTTTGACAGATTCTGAAAGCTGAAGTGTAGTCTCTCTTGTAGTCGATCTGTGTATTACTAGTAAACATAAACTATATAAATAATAATAATATGTCAAGTAAAATAAAAAGTAACAGTGATGACGATTGTGCTGTTACATATCTAAACCTCCATTAAGTTCGAGCCCTGCCAATCAAATTTTCGTATTCTGAAAGAACTAAACTTATTTTAGTTTGATAACTTATTAGTAACTCAAAATAATTTCGTTGAACCTATAAATTACATCTCAGACACGACTTGCTGAGGTGGTTTTAGGAGTTACATTAACGTGAGGGTCAGTCCCGAAAATACAGACGTGAGCAATACCATTCTCTTGGTAATAAATATGAGACGTAAGTTTTTATTTTAAAATGAGGTGACAGATAAAATAATTGATATATGTTTTATCATATAAATTTAATTTTACAACAGAATCAGCATAACCAGTACCAAAAATATCAAAAGTAATGTTGAAAAGTTATATATAAAGGTGTCTTCTTCAGATTTGCTAGGTTTTGTAGAACGTAGGTGTAGCTTACCAATTATTGATAATAGTAAATAGGTAATAAAATTAATTTAAAAATCGTACTCCGAAAAACCTGAACGAAAATATTCTTCTCCAAATTCTGATCTACAAACAAATATTTATCAACTAATATTTTAATTTAATACGGAAACGGATGTTCACAGGATCACAGTGGCCGTATGTCATCAAAAACCACTTCATTTTTTAGATTACAATAAATAATTTAGAAGTTATGCGGAACAAATGAACATACTTCTAAGAACACAAACACTGGTTAAAATTATAACCCGCTTTCTGGCTTTACCATTTTCAGGTAAAAATATTTATCACTTGAAAAACTTGGTTTCATAGCAATTCCTATTTTTTGAAATGTTAAATGTGGATAAATAAAAAAACAACAAATTACAAGATAACTAAAATACTTTTTTGGTGAATTTAAAAATTTAAGAAATTAAAAAATTTTAAATTGTCTTATTGTCTAAATGTTTAAATTGTCTAATAAAGGTAATGTCTATTTTTTTTTGATGTTATAAACGGATAAATGGTATACCCTAAAAAAAAATGGCATTATAAGTAAAAAAAATTTTAAAAATTTCAAAACTTAAACAGTAAAAAAAAAATTAACAAATGATTAACCTTTGTGTTTTCTACTTAATTACAAACCTATGTTAGGCAGTAGTAAGTCATTTGCAAAGGTTTTTGTGAAAAGATTTGATATGGAAAATAAGCCTGATTAAAAGTATAAATTATGAATTTTACAGTTCTCATTTCACTGTGAATAATTGTAAACAATACATAAAAAGTAATTATAACAATAGCCTTTTAACAACTTAAAATGATAAATCATGTTTTAATTTAAATTACGAATAATTTGATAACCGAAAATACTGCATTTTTCCCATGAAAGCCAATTAACATTCGACCAAAACTTAGCAAATCTGTGAAGTCCTAATATTTTTGGTGTAAATCCTAAATGGAAAATGTTGTGTATTGTTAAGTATTTTTTAAAATAATCTAATGTTTTACAAATTCTATAGATATCACCGAGTTGAACTTCCACACATTTTATATTGTGAAGAAAAAGAAGTTTATGAAATATAACATTTGAACAATTTACTTCAATACTTTGAGGCGTTATGTCATCACTATCCAACAAATAGATATTAAAAGTACATTCAATCATGACAAAGCAGAGTACACATAGTTTATTTTAAGATTTTTTTGGAATTTTCAAAAAACTTTTTGTACATAAAGCAAGATGCTTATTATTAATTTTCGTATGTATTATAGAAAATAAAATACAGAATTTTCAACATATCAGGCAGTAATTACGAAATGCAAATTATTAGCTTAATTCGACAGTTACAACTATAATTTTATCTGTACCTATTTATAGCTTCTACATTTATACATTGCATTCTTCAAAGAACTGTAAAAGCATTTCGAAGGTGCATCAGCAAGTTTACATAGCCTTGAGAGTTATAGATGATAATATGATTTTATTTCGAGTACTAAATTTTAATGATACTTGCAACACAGACTAAGGAACTCACCTTTATAGAGAAAACCCGAAAACACATTACACTGTGTGTATTCTTAAATCAGTCAGTTTATCACATCTATTGTACAATATACACGTTATTACACATATTCACACTTATTTGTCACATAAAATAGAAATTGGTCGTATCACTTGCACAAACATTGGTTCACTGTTTAGTTGGACATTGGCGAATGATCCCTTGGCCGTTGCGGTTGGCGTTGGATCATTTGTTTGGCGACGTGAGACCCAATGCTGCTGACAACAGTCGCACCACGTTCTTTTGCTCTTGGCCTTCGTTTTCTGCAGCAAAAAAAAAGTATATTTAAGCAACATAGTTATTTATTTAACAATTCACGTGTTTAGTAGGTTTTTTATAAGCTTTTCTTTAGATATGATTTAAATTATGAATAAAACTTTTTAAAATAAATATGTTCACATGACTCGTGTTTAATAATAATATGCATTGTGCACTTAAAATTTTAGGACCACATATGGTACATGAAACTGAACGGTCAAGCCTTAACATGGATTGGCTTTTTGTAATTTTAGAGCTGAGCCTAAATTAATAATTAAATACAGAATATAGATAAAAAAAACATGTTCCTGTGGAATATAAAGGCTTCTGGCCAGAACGAATAGTTCCTAATTCTTTTGATACCAGCTATTGCCTGCGGCTTCACTCGCTACCCTCGCTATGCACTATCAAAGTTATGTATCTACTATTTTATGTATCTAACTTTAATAAAGATGAACTGTCATACAACTGTTCATCCCTTGTGCCCGAAAATCGTTCTTTAGTGGAGGCTTACAATATGAAAAGCATTAGAAGCGTCAGCTGCTAACATTTTAAGTTTGTAGCCCCAGTGGTTTATTGTCTGTATTAATGAATCAGTAAGTGAGTCAGGGCAACAAATATATGTATAGCAAAATTGAAAAAAGAGGTTTTATTTGTATGAGCATCAGGGTTATATAAAATCAAAGGTCTCTTACCATCCGCACTTGTAACATGTTTTTCTAGGTTAAGTTTCTCCTGAGCAACCTGGTAGATGCCCTCTTCGATGGTGCCGCAGCTGAGCAAACGGTATATCGTCACCGGACGTGTCTGACCCATCCTGTGACATCTGTAATACAAAATTAATAAGTTAGTCCCACTAGTGGTAAGTCCAATCACAGAATGAACATATGCATACACGAACCAGCCTTCTTCGAATTAATGTAGTCTTATTCCCGTTTCCTGTATCAGTTCCTGTTCTAGTGATGAATAAAGCTTTCCACAGTCATTTCTCATACTTAATTTCCTAAGGACCTTTAGACAATTATTTGTAAGTCACAGGAAACTTACCCTATTACAATAGATTTCAAGTACTTAATTTAGAAATGTAATAAACAAGTTAGTCAAAATAACTGGCGACTCCCACAAACAAAAAACATTTTTCAGCGCCATCTATTGAAGACATACCGAACTATGGAGTAACTACTATTTCTTTATCGCACAATGTACAACTTCCCAACATCAACCGTTGGTCCGTAGCCCGTCAGACATAATTACTTCGCCTGGTCGGAAGATCCTGTGACTTATGTTATGCAAATAAAAGTTACTAACGAATCAATATTGTATTCTCACCTGTCCTCAGCCTGTTTGTCGTTGTAAGGGTTGAAGTCTATGTCATGTATGATGACAGTATCTGCAGCGGTCAGATTGATGCCCAGCCCGCCTGCTTTGGTCGACAATAGGAACACAAATATATCCTCGGAATTGTACAGATTTATTAAATCTTGCCTGAAAACAAATATTGTTTCTTAACATACTAATGCTATTACTAATTACTAAAATAATATATAATCAATCATAAAATGCTGGATCACACTCTATAACAAACTACTGTACTGTAAAATAATCTTTGAAAGTGTGATGGCCCTCGCATGGTTCCCCTATTGTAAAAGTGGTGTAGCTACATTGAGGTGATTCTAATCATCAAGTGTATAAACTCTATATTGAACTTACCTATCAGTGACTGCGGTGCTACCATCAAGTCTGAGATATCGATACCCCCTAATCCTGAGATATGGCTCCAGTATATCCAGCATCATGGTAAACTGACTGAAAATTAGCACGCGGTGCCCGTCCGCCTTGAGTCGTGGTAGCATCTCGTCCAATTTCTCAAACTTACCAGAGTCTAAGATCAGATGCTCTGGAATGCCAAATTGGCTAATACACTGCAAAAAAAAGTTGTGTTACACTAATTTTGAATGTCAGCTTATAAATATAAATTGGTATGCTTAAAAATTTAAAGCAAATTTAGTTAAATAATACTTTTAAGGTAGTCCACATACAACTACACTTCACATAAATATGTTTGTTAATTTTAACATTGGTCAGTAATTGATATTTCAACATTACAATACACACAATAATTCTAACGGTCTTGACACAAGATCCGTTACCGAAGACCACTGAAGCTATAATATAATATAATATAATATTCTACCACAGACACACAACGCCATCTAGTCCCAAACTAAGCAGAGCTTGTACTATGGGTACTAGACAACTGATAGAAATACATATATACTTCTTTTTTTTTTTTTGTAAATACATACATATTATACATAGAAACACCCAGACCAAATCAAACATCAAATGTTCATGCACACAAATGTTTGACTTGAGCGGGAATCGAACCCGCGACCTTTGGAATAGCAGTCCGTTACACAAACCACTACGCCATCCTGTCGTCAGTATCAAATTTACTTCTTGAGATTTATTTGAAAACATTAACTTTTATAAGATTTTTCTTAAAAGACACTTTGTTTTCATGAACCCTTCCTATACAAGAAAATGTTTTTAAAATATTTATCCAAAATAACGCCCAAGAATGTAAAAAACATTTACTCCTATTTACTTTAACAATTAGTTACATAGTCCTAATTTTGTGAACGCCAAAACTCTTCTCGTTAAAATATAAAACACTCGCTCGCTCGCGCACACACACCCTTACCTATTCATTCAATTAACGCAAGATGAAGTAACACCTAACAGAAGGTCATGTAAAATTAAATAGTTATTTGAACGTCTCAGAAATTCTATTACAAACGCGAGAATTTTCGACTCTCAGTATCAATACTCACATTATGTGTCAGTGTTAGTTGATGTATTTGGAAGTCTGACATACACATGAGATCATCAAAAACGTAATGTTCTTTCTTCTCCTTGTACGTGGGATCTCGAGCCAGTAGCTTAGCCATCCTTTGTACCTATACAAACAAGCATTCAAGAAGTTTGAATTAGAGATATATCTTATTTGAAGTTGTCATTGATTACTTTCGATGAAAATCATAGTCCAATTCATATGGTACCATATTCTAATATGACATCATGAGCTTACCTCGTCTTCTTGGTAGTGGTACCGAAGTAGTAGAGGGTGATTAGCAAGTTTGCGCATATCCATCATCATCGCCATACCGCTCTGCTCTGTCGTCGCGTGGATCTGTTGAAGATAGGAAATTGTCGACTTAGAAAACCTGGCGATCACAAAGAAGTTAGATTTGAGAGCTTTTTATAATGCCCCATTATAAAAAATATACATTAAAAGTCCATCATAAAACTACTTCAACTATAACACAAAAAGAAGTTGAGATAAATATTCTTCATCTTTTCTGTCATTTAACTGGAGTTAATTTCTAAAATGAACATCTAATATTACATAGATCGATGCACGAAGTCCAATAATAAATTCAGTAAAAAAAAATATATTTATAGCCTGTTGTCAATAGTGAAAAGCACCCCACGCTTTTTTTCAAATTTATTTTCTATTTTTTAGTTAGGTTTTCTATAGAAAGCGTGTTTTTTAGTTTTTTAAAACATTTTTTTTTTTTTTAATTTGTGTATTGTCATCGGTCCTCGATATATCTACAAAGTTTGAACGAATTCTGACCGTTTAAAGTCAGTCAAAATCACGCCCAAAGGAGTCGGTTACAAACATACAAGTGAAGCTAATATAAAGCGTGTAATAAACTAGCGACTGTATAATTTCAGGTCTAAAATATTTAAGAGGGTAGGTGAGATGTTAGATGGTTATCTAACATCTCACCTACAGGCTGATAGGCAACACTAGCACCTTCAAACTCTGTTTTTCTATTTTTCTTTCTTTAAAAGACAACTCCCGCGCAAGGAATATATCCACTGTCGCGAGGGACTTTACAAACATTCATTAAACTGACACAACGACCGCCTAGACTAAGAACAACAATTTGTGGATCACACAAAGGGCTGTCCCTTGTGGGGATCAAACCCAGAACACTCAGCGCACTAGGTAGCGGCGAGGTGACCGCTTCAAACACTACACCATCCGTGTCGTCGAGTCTTTGGTCTCATAGGTCTGGTTCCTGGGTGCCTGTTACAGACTTAAAGTAACTCCTATAATGTAGGAAAGCGATGGTATAGAAATTACATTTAAAAAATTACTAATACGAACCGTGCCGTCTTTTGCCGCAAACCCAGCAATCAGATTCTTATACAGCATATTTTGTCTATTAGACATGGCGCACAGCTCTCTGTGGTTGGTCTTCTTAGGCAAGTCCTGCAGTACGTCTCTCTTCAGGCGCCGCAGTACGAATGGCTTCATGATACGCTTGGCTTGCGTTATCTGGCTCTGTTCGAACGCTGGCTCATCATCCTCCGTATTGCCCTCAGCTTTTTTCGTTGTTTTTGACTTCTGTTATAATAACAGTGGAAATTAGTTAGAAAACAATAAATTAAATTAAAATACGAGTTTATGTAAGTCATAATAATTGGTCTCTATTGCTTTGATTTAGATAATAATATATGTATTATGCTATTTGAAATAGTCTAAGATGGAATGGTATTCCATCTTCCGTTATCTTTTATTTGAATAATTTTTATCTATGTTCAGTATATGTATTTAATACAATTAAGCTTTTAATATTGACTTGCTCAACATTGTGCTTTTCTATCAGGCCGACCTATTTGTGTTGAAGCATGATTCTTCCACATATAACAGTGGCATAAAGAAGGCAGATAGAGCAAAAAGCTTGGGTTAAGGTACTATAGCTTTTTCAACCACGTCTCGGGTGAGGGAACGGGACTAAGACAAATAGTTCAAAGAATCTTGTCCCGTATTCGTCTGTCCAATGATTGGACCAATATAACAGGATGACATCAACTGGTTATTAATATACACATCTCAAAAAACTATATATTTTATTATATACTTACTGCATTTTTTTGGAATAAACTTTTAAGGTCGTCCGTCTTGCCAGAGAACATATGAGGCATCACGAAGGCCAGCAAAGACATCAACTCCAACAAGTTGTTCTGCAGTGGAGTGCCAGTTAACAGGAGACGGTGTTTGGACTGGAAAGCAAGTTCAACATATAATAATCGTTACATATAAAATTACTTTCATGAATGCAGAGCCTAAACCGCTGTGTTTAAAAACTTGATGTTGGCAGCTGATGCTTTATATGTTGCAAGAATCCACAAAGAGAAAGGATTTTTGGTAAAATATTGTTTAAGTTAAAACGTAGGTGAGGGATAGCTAGTATCTTAATATAGACTTATTTCTTAGTATTACATGGATTTGCCGTGTGGGTGTCAGGTCTGTCGCGTGATAGATGGGGGCACACATGCGACTTCGACAGCGACAGGTATAGGCTTAGGGAGTACTCCTTGTGACGCGTCAGCGCTCACCTCCACTGTCTGCTGTGTTACCCCCTCTACCTAACCATATTTGATACGAGCCTAGCAATGCCGCTTTGGATATACATTCAAGAAAAGAGTTTACTGAAGTTTTTGACAATACTTAAGCAGGTTATAGAAGGATTTTGTTGGTAATACCCTTGCACCCACTTCCACGGCATACAACACAACGAAATAACCATTTTTAGTTATTTCGTGGGTTAAATCAAAGTACTTGTTTCTTTTTAGAGCGTGGTCTTTAAGGATGTTTGTTTCCCACGGTACCGTGAGTTCTACCAATACTACACGCTTAATTGACATTGCATAAAGAAATATGTCTGGTCGGGACGCCGAGGCACAGAAATCCTCCAGTTTTATGTGGTTTCAGTTTATAACTATCCAAAAAATTATAAATCCATGGACACATCCATGTATTCTTAATCCGTGTGGTGACGGATTAAGAATACGGAATGTCACCACCCCTAAACATTCCGTGGGTGTCGTAAGAGCCGATTAAGGGAGCAAACCACGCTGGCCAATAGCACTGCAAAGAGAAGGAAAACTTGGAAGAAACCCTATACCAACCCCCTTATACTAGCCAGCGTGGTATAGTAGGCCAAAACAAAAAAAAAGGAGGTTTCCTTCCTAAGGAAAGGCCTATGTTCAGCAGTGGACTATTATGGGCTGTTGATGTGTGATATCCACATCCATGAACTCAACATGTAGATATTATTAATAGGATGATTAAGTTACCTTTATTTTAAGTAGATTGTCGTATCGCTGGGTAGACATATTTTTTAGCATGTGCGCTTCATCGTATATGACATAATGCATCGGAGTGATCCTAAACATTTTTCTTTCTTCTGGACAACTGTTCACCATTGTGTATCTGTAACAAAATTAAGGAAATATATACAATGAAAGGAAATGCATGTATTGCAGTGACCGTACATAAGGTGGCTCATGTATTAGCATTAGGCTCCAGGCTCAGGTTTGGAGGGAGGTTATTTTTTGTTAATTTTATATGCAACCCGACATCAAGCGAGCTCTATACGGTATTAAGAATTTTACTTGATATGTATTAAATGTGCACTACACTTCAGATTGTTAGATCAATATAAGCCGACCAGATAAAAAAAATTGAATGGAACTTACGTGGTGAGTACAACGTCGATATTATCCAATCCCCTTGCATACTGTATGCGTAATTGGCGCCGCTCCTCTGGGTGACCGTAGTACTTGCTCACGCGCAGGGCTGGGCACCAGCGTTCTAACTCACCGCTCCAATTATCTAAAACAAAAACCTTCATAATTTATTTCTTAAATCAAGAAGGCCTATATTGGTTTTAATATAGAAGAGTTAAGCCTTGAAATTAAATCAGTTCCTTATTTGAATAAATTATAATAAAAAAAATAATTAAAATGGGCTAACAAATCGCAAAAATATCGCATGACATACAAATGAAAAAAAAAATGGAATTAAGAACCGACGTTTTTAGTCGATTAATAAATGAATTCAAAATCGGAAAAGGCAGTGGTAAACTGATATTAACTTGAGAGGCTCAAATACATTTATTAGTTTAACATACCAAGTGTGGAGGCCGGCACGACGATAAGATGTGTGCCCCTTGCCTGGCCTGTTTCCTTCAGATGAGCTAGGAACGCGATGACCTGTACAGTTTTGCCGAGTCCCATCTCATCAGCCAATATACCAGACACACCTTGCTTGTGTAGAACTGCTAGCCAGTTTAATCCTACTAGCTGATATGGGGCTAATTTGAGACTGTAAAAAAAAACATAATACATAAAATTAGGTAAGCTTAAGAACAAATGAATACCAGCTTAGGACCAGGTCCACTCTATCTTGAATAGGCGTAGAACAACTCATTTCATTGCTTGGAGGATCATCATACAGGTTTAGGGTTTTTTTTCCCTATCCTATGTCGCGGGGGACTTTACAAACATACATCAATCGGACACAAAGAACACCCAGAGTCTGAACGTCACCTTGTGGATCACACCTCGTGCCGTCCCATGTGGGGTTCGAACCCACAACACTCGGCGTAGGAGGAAGTAGCGTGACGACCGCTTAAACCACTACGCCATCCGCGAGTCAGGTTTGGATTCAGGCACAACTCTCTTAATATTGTTTTTTAGGGCAGTCTAACAGTGGTGCGAATGTAAGGATAAAATAAATCCGTAAAAATGCTTTCGTCATCAAAATAGTTTTCATAAACATTCGTACAGAAAGTTAGGTAGGTCCTAGGTAAATTAAATGTATGAAATGTTTTACTGTTTTCGCTGTTGTTAAATTAACACTATTAGTATTTGATTGAAATATTTGGTTGTAAATTAGCCTAAATTCTACTTGATATAGTTTGTTAGACTAAGTAACAATGTTATGGCTGTGAGCTATTCATAAATAAATAAACGAAACTGTTTATATGTCACTATCACAATGCCAAAAGCGGTGGTAACGAAATGGCAAAAGCGTCAGATTGGAATATAACCAATTTTAAAAAGTCATCGATTTCATAGACTAGACCTAGTTTCCACTATCATCAAGAAAGCCCACAATTAGCTTCTTTTAGAGCCCGTCCACACAGCGATATTTCACCGCGCGTGTTTTTTTTCGCAAAATTCGGTGGATAAAAAAATCACAAACAAATCACAGATTTCTTTTGGGCGAAGTTTTTGCGCCAGTGCGGATAGTCCTGTATAGATTTCATGTTTCAAAGCATTTTGCGAAAAAAACGCGCGGTAAAATATCGCTGTACGGAAGGGGCCTTAACCTAAACATCTCAAGCAGTATTCATATTCACTGCAGTAGTGCAGTACTTCTAATAAAAGGGATAAAAATCTATTACCATCCATCGATTTACTCCTCAGAGCTAAGACTACTATCACACTTCATTGTTTGTGTACCTCACCTTGCATGTAATATAGCCGGCTGTTTAAGCCTGCCAGCGCCTGCTGCTACAGCCGCTTCAAGCTGCTGTGCAAGTCCAACACACTTCTTCATGAGGCGCTGTATGTTGTTCCTAGTTGTCAATAATTCCTGTGTAGAGTTTAATAGTTCTGTGCTTAATCCTTTGTTGCTGTTGAACTTTTCTACCTGATAAGAGAATAGCAAAATAATGGTTAGTGGTAACAATGATTTTATAAACAGTCAATAATATTGAAATGATATTTTATGTAACTGTCTTGGTGGCTTCTAGTCACAGGATCGATACAGACAAGTATGTGAAGCCTATTCGTGCTGTTGCTATCAGTTTCCTATCGTTCCCTCATTCAAAACTTGAGGTAGGCATATAATTATGTATTCATAGGTCTTTGATATCAAATGATTGATTGTACACTATTGGCATCATCATTCCCTAATTAAATGTTTTAGTCTCTCGCCACTCTCGGTCAGAAACTATTGTATTCTTTGTAAAAATTTACTTAAGTTTTTTTATCTTGAAGCATTGTTTTTGATTTTTAATTACTATCCAAAATAACACAATCACACATACAGCCATATACCCTGGTAAAATATTTAAAAGGATTGGCGACAGACAGTCGGCTAGCTATAAAGAAAAGGCCCCAGCTAAAACAAACAACTAGAAGTCGTAGTAGAGCTGCAAATAGACGATAATGTTCCTGGTCTAAACTCTATATTTTTTAAAAAGACAACACTGCACACAGATATATTTCTAGTGCGGGAGTTGTATTTCTAAAACATAAAAAGGAAAGATATAAAAAATAACATACCATATCAAGCCATCCTTTGAATGGCCTGAGTGCCATAATAGCCTCCGCCTTCTTCTGTGAACAGCCACTAAGTAACGAGAGCTCATTCATGTTGCTCGTGTTTAGGAATTCAAATACTTTTTTCTTGTCCCCTATTAGGTCATCTGTAACCTCATTGTCTGAATCCTCACTGAAAAATACATAAATTGATATCATTAACCAACATAACAACATAATGTTTATTTGTTTATGTTGTATTCCATTACAATTCATAAATAAAACAACTTAAAAAACTCGTTAAAGAATTCTTATAAGAGGGTTTATTTTGTTGCAGTAAAGAAAGATTCGTCTTGTTGCACACAAAGGTAACAGTGACATTTTAAATATACTACAAAAAAACAAAATAAATATTCTAGCACCTGTGTGTGGAACAAAAATGGTCCTCAGCTCAGCATAGTGCTACTTCGAGTAAATACACGAAGCGCCGCTGATATTCCAAAGGCTAAGGCCAAAAGTGACGTGCACGGTCCTCAAGCAGCCATAGAGTCTGTTTTTCTTATTCAAAAGCATATGTTAAACATAAAATGAACTAAACTTATATAATGTTTTTTTTTACTTAATGAAAGATCTATATAGAGCTACGTGAAGTAAAGATTGCACTGACTGTGATCACTTTCAGTTTGACCATCGATCAGCTTGATCTAAACATTTAAGAAGTTACGCGATCGCGGTAATTCTCGTACGTATACATAATTAGTAAAAATCGCCACCATGACTTTCTGCCTTATAATATGTAATCATGGTATAACTTATAACAATGATTGATTGATTACAGAAAGCAAAAAAAGAAAAAAAAAATTCATTTGGGTTTGGCACTTTTATTACTGGGACGATGCATTAATCACGGACCTGACAGAATGCATGATTTAACCTTTTTTTTTGGATGAAACGAAAGCTTCCATTCAGGTCAACTGCTAAAAGTGATACGTGAAAACTGACTCTTATTTTACATCTCAAAAAACCACCACTATCGATGCTTGAGTTTCTATATGCTTACCTGTCATAAACTCGATCATCTTTCCCTTTCCGTACACCATAGTCGTCATCTTCACTCCCACTGCTGCCTTTTCTCGTTCTCCCCCCTTGAGCTTCTATAGGTTTTCTCACTACAACAGTTGTTTTTGGTCCGCTAGTAACCCTAACTATGCCCATATTTGTAATCGGGCGGGTCTTTTGACCTGATACCCCAGGCTTCGACACAAAGAATGATGATGAATTTGGGTTTGTAACTACACTTTTGTCATTTGTTTCTGGGTCATACTTTAAAAGTTCATCTCTAGACCGTTCTTCACTCCATCCATGTTTAACTAATGTGTTTTTTACAAACTGTAAAATAATATTTCTATTAGTCTAAGACTTAACTGGTAAGTAATAGCCAGGTCGGGTTTACTGCCGGCTAGATTAACTATTAAAAAATAATTAGGGCAGTGTAAATGAGTGGTAATAGGTAAGAGGACGGTGCTTAAGTGAATAGGTCGTGCTAGGGCAAGCAAACTAACACATCGCGCCTCTGGCGCTCTCAGAGGGTATTGACGGATACTGCACGTACGGGTTAGTCGGCACTCTCAAGTGGAATTTGGAAGCGTAATTGCTCGCCATAGTTTATCGGATGGCTAAGTTCCGGGCGGGGAAGCCGCAGTTGGCCCCCGCCCGAAGAGGAAAGCGAGTGGCGTGAAGTCGCACGCAGAGCTATGATGGCCCGATGATGGACCTGGCTGGAGGCTCCACGTGTTAGTTTTGCCGACGTGAAGGCACTCCAACCGGTCATCGTCGAGTGGGTAGCGTTTGCGGGCAAGCATTCCTAGCGCGCCAAAACACGTCGGGATCCGGACGTCTTATAAAATCTGTTCCCTGATCCCTCCTAGTTTAAGGCGCATGGCATACCGAGTAATTTTACGCCCACTTGCAAGCCCCAGGTGAAGGCCCGAGGGGGTTTTCACACACATAAAAAAGTACAAACTAGCATAACCTATTCAGGAATTTACTCCTCAGGAAATACCCAGAGCTTAGTAATATCATCACAGGAAAACCCTTAAATGTAAGAACAAAAGAGGAAGAGGTAAACAATATATGTATTTGTAACTATTAAATATAGTCACAAATACGTAAATTTATACACATAAGCCATTTAATCTTTTGAACTTACGTTAGTTGAAAGTTATCAAAACTGTGAAGTCCATTTATTTTAATGTTGGTTTTTATTGAGGATTCATAAATCACACATTCAATACATGACGTATTCATTTTAAAACCAAAAGAAATAAAAAAAACACTGGAAACTGCATCTTTCTGCCATAGCATGCATAGATAGAGTACACAGTAACCCATGTATTAATAGGGAGTCGCAGCATATGAAGCTAAATACCTTAGCTCACTAGGTTTAATCGCCGAGATAGTTAGTAATGTAAAGTATTTACTGAGATTCTTCGATGAGTTAGGGAGTCTTGAATAGTTTATATTCCCACAAACGCAAAATTCGTACTTTAATGTGGAGTTGTGGCAAACAGACAGTGTATAATTTAACATACAATCCCAAACTGCTTCAATAACCACACGCATATATGCAATAATGAATATAGCAAAAAAAGGAAATATATCTCTCTCTCTATAATAAAGTCAGTTTAATAAATAGTCACAACACTTACCATAGGAGATATATCAGGAAACATCTGCAGCATATTTCTAAATCTCCGTTCTTTAACCTGTGTCGTAAGTTCTATAGTCACCGTAGGTTTTTTGGCAGGAGAAGCTGAATCATCAGAATCTGAGTCAGGTAATCTTATCCGTTTATACACTATAGGACTGTTCCGGGATACTGTATTTGGCGCTGCCATTCTTATAATTTCTAAAACAACATATATAATTATATGGTTTAATAAGTAAAGGTAAACAATGTACTTAGTCTATATTTATGTTATTTTGTTAAAACATCATTTTTTTCTGTCTACTCATGCTTTTAAAGACACATTAATATTTTTTATTTTATAGTATTTTGAAACAAAAATATAATTACATTTCCTTTTTTTAAAAAAAAAAAACAATCTCCCGCACTAGAAAGGTCATGTGTCGCGGGGGACTTTACAAACATACATGAAACGAACACAAAAAACACACAGACTCATAACCACATTTTGAGGATCACACAAAGTGTCGTCCCGTGTGGGAACGAACCCACAACACTCAGCGTAGTAGTAAGCGGCGTGGCTTAAACCACTCCGCCATTCTTTCTCTCTCTTTTCTCTATTAATATTTGCCTAATTTCAGCAAATTATCAAATAGGGTTCACATGATCGTCGTCCTTACACAAATAAAGCAATCAATATTGCTCTACACCTGAGACATGGTGCATGTACCAGGATGAGATGAAGCACCTTGACGTCTTCAACATAAAGTGTTTAAGGTCCATTCTACGCCTAAAATGGCAAGACCGTGTCTCCAAATTAGATATTCTACGCCGAACGGGGATTCATCAACAGCTTTTAGCAGTCCACTGTTGTACATAGGCCTCTCCTTAGAGGGGAGGTTTTGGCCTATTATACCACGCTACCCAGACGGCATGATATAGGATTTATGTAGTTTTCCTTCTTTTTGGAGTGCTATTGTCTTGCGTAATTTGTTCCCTTAATCGGCTCTTAAGACAACCACGGGATGACAGGGAGTGGTGACACTCCGTATTCATAATCTGTCACCACATAGAATATGAGCATGGAATCTACTAATGAGGGGTCAACCCAGGTGGTTTGGTCATCTATAGACACAGTGGTGGGTGGTTTGGTCATCTAGTACGTATAAACACCTCTAGACCTCCCAAAATTGTTTTTTTCTCTTTCTCTCACTCGGGGAAAACGCAAGCCAGCAGAACAAGTCCTGCGTTATAAGGACGTTTTGAAACGCTACCAAGAGCTACGCAAGAGCTCGATCAACGACGGCCTAAGTGGCGAAGGATCGTCCATCAGGCTATTGGGCAATACGAGGTAATCCGCCTTCAAAGCGTTGACGCTAAACGATAGATTTCAAAAAGAATATCCAAACACGTGTATAACTTAGATGGTCAACTACAGTGTGTGTCATGTGACAATATCTTTAGCCAAGTTCGCCATCCACATACGTCGTGGAGGATATCATCTATTAGACTTGAAACTGCGTTAAACGGGCGACCGCGACTGTTACACGACGCTTGTCTGGCCGCGCGTGGCCACGTTTATGGGCTCTGTGGGAACACGTCACTGGTTCAATTTCAAGGTTGTACATGTACAATGATGATTGTTTTTGATATGTTTTTACGTAATAAAACGACGATTAGTAAAAAAACAAGATAACCAATAAGCCCGTTTATTGAATAGACTTTCAGTAAGTTACGGTGGGCGGACCGTTTCATGTATGTTTGTAAAGTCCCCTTGAAAAGTTGTATACAAAAAAGAAGATAAAAGATGCCCAATAAGTTTCTTATAAGTAACAAATACTAGCTATTACTAATTTGCAAACACCTTTTTAATGAACAGAGCGAAATAACACCTGACCAATGGACAATGTCGACTATAATACTTGTGCACAAAAAAGGGGAGAAAAATATTAATAATATTTATAGACATATCAGCCTCTTGTCAATTATTTGCAAAATCTGAGCTAGTGATAAGTAATACTCTGTAGGATCACTAAGACATCGGATTGAAGTCCGTCAAGAGAGCGGGATTCATAAGCGGATATTCGAACTTAGACCACATTTACGTTATCAAACGTTTAACTGAAAAAAGGCACAATTTCAACTTCGCCTTTCGTAGACTACAGTGAAGCTTTCGATACAATGGAACACGAAAAGATCTGCTGACTCTTAAGAACCAAGGGGTCGAACACAATTATATTGTAATTGGAAAAACACTTAATGATAACAGTAAAGCCAAAATTAAATTAGAGAAAGAAGGAAAGGAGATCACTATGAAAGTAGGAGTGGGCCAGGGCGACCCCATTTCGCCAAAACCTTTTACTGCAGTTTTGAAAGAGGCCTTTCGTCGTTGGATTTTCTATTATGGATATTTTACTTTTATGGACATTTCCATAACAGTGAAAATCCATCACAGCAAACATTCGCGGATGATCTAATAATCCTGTCGCCAACGACTAAGGGCCTGAAGATGTTGAAGTGAATGATGAGACATAATGAAACAAATGGGAAGCAAAAAGTTTTTTTTTCTCTGAACACTCTCGGGGAAAACGCAAGCCAGCAGGACAAGTCCTGTGTAACAGTGACGTTCTGAAACGCCACCGAACAGCCAACCTTCGTGTGTTGAGATGCAACATCTCGCTCAACGACGGCCTCAGTGGCGAAGCTGCGTCCGTCAGTCTACTGGACAATACGCGGCAATACGCCTTCAAAGCATTGACGCTAAACACCAGATTTCAAAAAGAAAACCCAAACCCGTGTATATCTCAAATGGTCAACTACAGTGTGAGCATCATGTGACAAAATCTGTAAAACTGAAAGCATAGCCAACTTCGCCATCTACGGATATGTCATGGAGGATATCATCTATTAGACTTCAAACTGCGTTAAACATTAAACATTAAACTACGTTAAACAGCTTGAAATCAGAACAATATTGGAGCATGAGCTGTTCTTACTTTTAGTCTTATGGTTACTAAACATGGGCACCTACGATAATACATTTTACTATAAGACTAAAAGTAAGAAAGAATAAAAGTTGCAACCATTAACACATATCATCTCAAGCGACCATTAGTCCGCCTGGAGACATGACTAGCCCACTTGCATTGAAGTATACTGATGCTCCATGTGATGTCAGTTACTCTAGTGCTCTGTCATATAGTTTCAAATTGTATTGACTAAAGAAACCCCCAGCTCTGCACATTCATTGCATGCTGAGTGATCACTGTGTACCAGTCCAACGGTGAGTGTGCATATCTTGGCTCTGTATGATGCTCTGATCATAGAATCAACATTTATAAATACCTATACAAATTTGTAATGTATCTAACCCATGTATCACAAATAAACAATTAGATTGATTGGTTTTTAGCAATTACAGGATTGGCGACTCAAAGATATGACATAGCTCCCCTTATGCTGGCCTGGCCTGGCCTAGACAAATTATTATATTAGCTTCCTAAACATACTTTTTGAGTTTATATTGAGTATATATATAATAATGGTTTTAATTTATAGGGTGTGTATGATGGCCAATAGAAAATGAGTTTATTACTTATGGTGATATTGTGCATATGTCTTTAACAAAATAACATTTAATTAATACAAAAAAGAAAACGCTTTTCATGAAGGAATAGCAAGTGATGTAGTTCTGATTAGAAATAGAGGTAGTAATGTTTACATTTTTACACTAAGCCCACATTAGATTTACACCATTGGAGTGTAAGTTTCATCATGTGTAAGCTAAGTTATTGAGCTGAGCTTTATTCTAAATATATTGATGAATAGAAGTAACAGAGTTTAAATACACCATTATTGTAACACTCACATTATTGTGTCTTTGGTAACACTTTAACATTCAAAGAAACACAGCTTTGTATTTAATTATTGAAAGAAAGTGAGAACCAAATCTTTGATTATAGCAACTAAAATACAATAAATATTTAAATTCCATGGTCAAGGTGAATTATTCTTGTAACCAAATAACCGGTAAGTTATGTAGACCTTACGTTATACAGGTCACTGAACGTGGTAATAATTCCTCGTGGTGAATAGTTACAAGCACGTGCTGTATTCACCATGACCTTCATCTGTTAAAAGGATAGCACTCACGAGAACCCGACGGAGCTGAAGTGACGGTGACAGGACTGCTGGAACCAGCAGGATCATTCGGTTTCCTCTGGAACCTGTACTGTCGTAAAAAACTCAACACACTTGGACTTGTACCATTAGACATTTTTGCACTAACTCGATGTATCTGACAACACTTTTTATGTAAAAATCTTTAAGGTTCTGTGATAAAAAAAATGAAGCAAACTTTTACGAAATTCTAACACTCAAGACAGCAGAGCAGCAGGGCACCACAAAAGACAACACTACGGCCATTTTTATCCGCGAGTCTGCAAAACGTGAAAAGCAACTGGCCAATGAAGTTTTATATTATCACCTGTCAGAATAAAAAGTGACCAATTACAGCCACGAATAAATTATTTTCACAAATGACAATACAGTTAAAATTCGTTAAGAATAGTAGAAATTATGTTTAAATTGAAATATGTGGCAGCACTAAAATTTGTAGGTGCTAAAAAAAAAAAAAAAAAGTTATTTTTAGAAGAAATCAATAAATATACAAGAATTATTTAGAATTTGGTAAAAGCTAAGGGCTTGCATTTAGTATAGCTAAATGCAAGCCTAGTTTAACCTAATTTTTTTCATCCTACAAGGTTTCCAAGCACACATAGGCAAGAAATGGATTCAATCTTAGGATCCACCTCCTGTGTCTCTCAGAAAAAAGGTCATAAATATTAGTAATGCTTAGATTTCCTAGTGGTGAGTCGTGGCACTACATTAGTCAGTCTTTTTAGTTCTTATTGGAAAGAAAAAAGTTAAGGTTTACCAATTTGTATGCAGGACTGTTAACATAAGAACAAAACTTAAATAGATTATAATCACAAAACTACATACACTACGTTTTTTTTACAAAGTTATTTCAATGAAACGGTTATATTTGTTTCCTATTTTTGCCATCGTTAAGCCATATTTCGTCTCGACCGGAGTGATACCACGGCCTCACATAAAACGGGTGTTAAGCAATTCTATCGTTGTTTTTCATCGAGCGAGTGCGGTGACCTGATACTGCTTCCTGCACAAAAAAAAACATTCTTCATTTAATTGTCATTTTCTTCATTACATTTCTACATTTAATCAATTATCAATCATCAATCAATCAAACAATCATTTAATTGCAGTTCATATATTAGGTCTTTACCTATGAAATTGCCGTTTTGTATGCAATAAGTGAAAGTATTTATTTTTTCAAACTTTTTTATTTCTGTTATTCGCAGTAATCACCCATGCAATCGACGCATCTTTGCCAACGCATTGGCAGTTTATTGATGAAATTTAATGAGAATTTTTTAACCCACTAAAAAGTTGTCTAAATTTTGGAAAAAGTAATAGTGGGTAGGTGCAAAGGTTCTCATTAAATTTCATCAATAAACTGCCAATGCGTTGGCAAAGATGCGTCGATTACATGGGTGATTACTTCGAATAACAGAAATAAAAAAGCTAGAAAAAATAAGTACTTTCACTTATTGCATATAAAACGGCAATTTCATAGGTAAAGACCTATTATATTCCACAGATCAGCAGGGCCCACTCAGTATTTACTCGTGACCCACTAATCGTTTGCGATCTATAGTTTGGGAAATGCTAGTTTTAATGAAAGTTAGAAGTTAGAGTTAGAAAGTCTTTTTTTCAACACCGTAGCTATCAATACTGTTAAATGTTACCTTTATTGATTAAAGCAAGGAGAGGGTAAGGAATCATTTTAAATGAAGGATTTCATAAAAGTACATCAAAATCATTAGCCTATTACCTATCACTGTTCAAGAAGCGCAAACAGGTAGAAGAAGTACAAATTCTAGCAAAATATTATAATGATTTCACTTGAAATAACGAAAATTAACAAAATTAACATTATAATATTAACAAATTCCTGATAAACATTACCCTTTTAAAGTCTTACAAGAATTTCTTATTGTGATAGCAGTTACCTACGATAGACCAATATGAAACAAGTTTTATTATTGGTCATTGTACCTACTTAGAAATCTAAACAGTTAAAGCGGTTTCGCACTACGTCCAATCAGAATCCGTGAAATTCGAATCTAGAAATGCCGGGCTGAATTCGGATGTTGCTTTTCACGCTACCACGCTACTTTTGATCCGTAATTATAAATTTAGAAAGCTGACTGACTGTTTCATGTGGAGCCGTTGATCATAAGTATTTTTACTTACAAACGTCAACTTACAAATAAATAAGAAATGGAGATTTACGGATAACGGCAAGAAATCGGTTGACGGAAGTCGAATGTATTACGTTAACTAAAATATAAATAGTTCTACGACTACTTCTTTTTTTTTATTAAAAGACAACTCCCTCACTAGGAACATGTCCTGTATGGTGAGGGACTTTAGAAACATTTATGAAAAGACACAAGGAACACCTAGACTCAGAACAACAGTTTATGGACCACACAAAGTGTTGTCCCATGTAGGAAGCGAACCCAAAACACTCAGCACAGTAGGAATTAGCAAGGTGACCACTTAAACCACTACCCCATCCATGCAGTCGCACTTTGAACCGTATTATCACGGATTCGAATCGGATTCTGATCGGACGTAGTGCGATTGGCTTTTATACATTTATGAACTATTTAAGGCGTCTTCATCCTTGTTGTTTATTTTTATCTGTACAAATCAAATCGTTGTATAGCAAAAAGTAATCGAATAGTTGTTTATTTTTAATGTCTCTCTTAAATGATTAATTTCACAACTTTTACAAATCTTCATGATTCTAGAATTTTCTGCAGAATGAGAATAGCCTGTCATTTGAAATGTAAAGTTAAAATTTCTCAAATTTTTAACATCTTTTAATCAAATACTTTTGGATTAAAAAAAAACTTGTTCTGCACAAAACAATCATCGTGTGGTAGAATACTATTGGGAAATTAATATTCAAATAACATCACTAAAATTCACTATAACCACACTGTTATACTGACTGTCAGATTAATAGGTGCGGCCATGTTGATCTGTAGTGAATAAAACTGAAATAATTTTCTTTTAGGGAATTTAAATTGACACAATATGCCCAAATGCGACCTCAAAACGAGATACATCCCCGCGACTTTCGCCTGGACGTTACTCTTGGGCACAACATCACTGTTTTTTTATTTTCCGTAAGTATACAATGTCGTCGATCGTCTGTAAATTCTAATTTTCGGTTTGACAACTTTCACACGAGATTGTTGAATTGTTTCTATTAATATCTTGGGCCGGAGTACTTGCCCTGTGTGACTGTGTGTGGATTATACCTGTGCTTCGCCTGTGGTGGTAACGGTAAGAGTGTTTTAAGTGATCTATAAGATAGGTGTAGGAGCCATGTTCCTAGTAATTAAAGTGTTACTTGCATTACCATAATATCAATGTATTAATTAGAGCATTGAAAAATGATTTCTTCGTGCTGTGTTGTGGTGTCAATGCCCAGGAACTTCCTGTATGTTCTCCAAATTTGTATAAACAAAGAGGTGTATGTCCCATGGGCTTGAGACATTGGAGTTCTAAGTTGTTTGTATAAGTTAACGTTGTGTTTAATACGTGTTTGATGGTGGTAGTTTCGTTTTTTAATTTATAAATACAGATGATAATATGGGTTTGTTGATATAATGTCTAAATGTTTTAGTTTTTATAATATTACACAACTCTGAGTAACTTATAGTTAGATTAACAAACTAATAAGATGTAGTTCAGGGTTCAGTTCAGTTGTTGTTATTGACACTATTGTAGGACAGAGTTGAGGTCATGTATCTGTCATTGTCACTGAAATTAACCTATAATTACTATTATTTTGAATCAATAACTTATTTAAACTTTCCTTACTACAATATTTTTGTGTTTCCAGAATAAATAGTAATACATACATTTATCATACTAACACAAGCACACCATTGCCTAATATTATTATCAATATCAGTGTGGTTATATAATTTTTATATATTTAACTGATAATATGTTTAATTAACTCTGATTAAAATGCAATTTTAAACTCTTAAAAAAATATATGTATTAAATTTATTTCTCAATGAAAATTAAATGTAAATCACCCCATAATTAAACATAATATATATTATATTATGTAGAACTTTGTTATTTGTTATTTTAGGTTCCTGTGAATTTTTTTAAAAGTATACACAATTTATTTAAATTTGCAAAGTATCCTTTTGTATTGTCTGTGTGCATATTTTCTTGTGTTAACATACAACTACAGTCACAAAGATTTAGATCTCTGTCACACATTATTCAAAAATATATTATGAATTGCGTTTTTTTTTTATGAATTTGAATGTTAACCAAACTTTTAGCTTTATTACAAACTAGCCATTGCCCGTGGCTTCACCCTCAAGGTTATTTTTTATCCATGTTTCTTATTTTGAAAAAGACAAATGTCAATGAAACGGTTCATCCCTTGTCCTTTCTTAGTGAGTGTTTACAACATAAAAAATATCCACTGCCAAAATTTCAAGTTAAAGCCCAGCCATCAGTTAGGGGAAGTAATTTTAAAAGTATAAATTAACACATTAGTAGAGATCAGTCTTTCACGAGTCAGAAGTGATTATCAATGTTCCTAAATTACTTTATATCTAGTAAAAACTAAATAAATTGCTTCATATTAACTTTTAAGGATGGTTTTCTAGAATCTGTGTACAGAGAAAACTTGTCTAATCAGTAAATGTCATACTGTTATGTACATTTTTTTTACGCAGTAATTTAAAAAAAACAATGGTTATGTAATTAATATGTTGATTCTTTTTTTTTATATTTAATTGCAATCGACACATCCTTTGCTCTTTAGTTCTCAATCATATGAGGTCTTGTGGAAACATTTTATTTGGTTGTCTATGTATTCAACAGGCTTAGCTAGGGAGTTTAGGTGTTTGCTTATCTAGTCCTTGTAAGTCCTGGTCCATTCAGATATTTCTCCTTTCACAGAGTCAATGCCGAGATCATTGGGAAAATTGTTATTTGTGAAATACCAGGGTGCATTAGTTATTAGTCTTAATACTTTAACCTGTTTTACAGAATGGTTATGTTTGATTTAGATGCAGTTCCCCAAATTTGTAATCCGTATGTCCATATACATTTGATAATGCACTTGAACAGCAGTTACTTATTTTCAAATAACATTTGTGAGTTTTATTGAGTAACCAATACATTGCTCACAATTTTTGGCCACACCACCAGATATAAAAATGTATGTTGTCCAGGTGAGACATCTAAAAAAGACGGACATGTATTTCTTCTTCTGGTAAATGTCACTTGAACTGACTAAATTTCATTGGCATTGATATGACACTGCGACATTGGTCAAAGAGTCTTGGATATATGGTCAAGGCTACTCTGACGATTTTTAGCTGAATACCAGCTCGAGTTACAACTCCCAATGTTGATATCATTATGTCAAAATGTTTACTACCTAGCAATGCTTTAAACTTAATTTTTTTTAATGTGTTTTCTAATTAATTTAGGAACTTTATTTTTAATTGACTAGATCTGAAAATAACTAATTCTGTTAAATGTCGTGACTACTACCGCTGGTCACAGCTAGTCATGATTAAGTTATGAAGTTGTTTGCCCTTTTAAGAAATATTTATTGTGAAAACACTGCACTTTATGTTGCCATAAAGAATATTTCCTTAGTATACTTAGATTATATATTTAGATGATATTCAAATTTTATAACCATACATTATCATATGTACGCAGGGCTTAGTTCTGTGGCACTTTCATCAAAAAAATAATAAATTTCATGCTTAGATAATAATGACACACATTTTATTCTACTTTCACTTATAATAAAAGTGAAAAGATAATTAGTGCCGTGAGTAATTAATTAAATATCTATTATTCATACATTTTTGTCTGTTAGTAGTGTTGTTTATATTATACAAATTACATTCAAATTTTAATCAAGGTTTAATTACTTAAAAACATTATTTTAATTAAGGCTGTTATCTATCTGTTATTTTAATAGTAACTTATAGTTTCATGTATTTTTACTTTGTTTAACTAATATCATTACTGCTCACCACTAATGATATTAGATTGTTGGTTCTAGTGAGCAGTAGAAATACAAGCTTAGTTTCCATTAGGTCTAGTTCTTTAATTCATTAGTCTCGAGATTGTTTCAATTAATAATCTTCTAACTGAACTACTGAACAAGACTTTTTACTATAGATGCATATCTATAAACTATAAAATAAATAAATAGAAAAAAAACTGATTCAAAAAACTTGGGTGCTTCCTTTTTTAAATCAGTTACTTGCGAAAATATTGACAACGTTTTGTTATTAATGGAATTTCGAAATCAGAATATCTTAAAGAATCTTTAGAAAAGTCAGATATCACCTTAATAGTATTTTTTTAACAACTACATTAATAGCTAGTATTGGTTTCTGTCGCCGCGCCGTCTCTCGTTGCCGCGGTTCGCAGCTCCAATCTCGCGTAACCAAATATTTACATGACCTATTTCTCCAAATTCTGTAATTGATTGCAAACCACACAGACTTCAAGGAATTGTAGTTTTTGTTTAATTATACCCTTTGTACATTCCCAGAATTCGGTTGAAATCCAGAACAAATAGCGGGTATATTTTTGTACTTTCTGCAATCAAAGTGTAATTGATCCACTAGTAACGCGAGTTAAAAAGTCTTAATTCAATAAAAGTATGCGGTTTTGTCCGTGTGGTGACGGATTAAGAATACAGAGTGTCACCACGCCTATTTATCCCATGGGTGTCGTAAGAGCCGACTATGGGAGCAAACTACGCAGGACAACAGCACTGCAAAGAGAATGATAACTTGAAACAAACCCCGACACGTCTGGCCAGCGTGGTATAGTAAACCTTCATTCAAAGAAGAAGCTAATGTGCAGCAGTGGACTGTAGGCTGTTTGTTATGTATAAGGTTCTACTTACGTGTGTATTCCGGATTCAAAACTAATCGAGCAAAGCTGAAGATTTTGTTGTGTTAAACGCGCTTATCTGCAAAACGGTTGCGGTTATATTTAAATGATTCTTTTTGTATTTAATAGAGTATTTATTGAGGAATAATATAGACTGTCACGCTAAGACCTTTTGGCTCTGAGCAGCTATCATAAGTTGAAATTGCGGACAAGGAGTAGCCTTAACTAAATATGAGTACCACTCATGAGTCCTAGAAACTGAGATATCAGGGAATTATAATAAAGTTGAAAGCACAGTTGAAAGAAAGGGTTTATCTATCTAGAAAAACTTGTAATCAAATTCACTATGTTCCATGATATATAAATGATAAAGAACTGTCAAACCGTAACTGAGACGAGGAAGTGATTCACACTTAACGCTTTCTTTGACACGTAGGTATTGCTGTAGTTAATGTTTTTTCCTTGTGCTAGCCGCCTTGACAACAAATTGAAAAAAAAACGTAGTTACGTAATAGTCGAATTTGTACAAATCTAGTTTCTTGTTTAAATCTAGCCGTAGCCATATAGGTAGGTATGTACACTTGGTTTACCTTCATTATTACAGCGTTAGTATGAGTCACAGCGCCATATTTTATAATCTACTGGCTATTGGCCGCGTCCTCGCTCGCTTTTGCCCGCGGCTCCGCCCGCGTGTATGTCGATTATCGCGGTAAAAAGTAGCCTATGTCCTTTATCAAGAATCAAACTATCTCCATATTAAATTTTATCTTAATCGGTTTAGCGGTTATTGCTTCTCCATACAAATTTCCACCTCCCTTTTCACGCCCTTAAAAGATGATTTCTGGTATATAAACTATCCTATGTCATTTCCCGGGACTCAAACTATTTCATCGAAATCGGTTCAGTATAACCGTGAAGAGGTAACGGACAAACAGACAGACGGACAAACACACTTTCGCATTTATAATATTAGTATGGATTTCTAACTTTAAAAATGACGAATTCCCATACGTCCGATTATGCCATATTTTACCCCCTTAGGAGTGAAATTGCCAAAATAAAAAGCATGAGCTGCGAAAATTTCAAGTTTATAGCCCCCAGTGGTTTAGGCTATGCGTTGATGAATCAGTCAGCCAGGCCAAGTAATTTTATATGTGTAGGTGACCTCAATGAAAGGCTATCTAACGAAAAATATTTATTTTTCTAATTAGATTGTTTG